CCCGGAGGCCTCGGCGCGGGGAGCGCGCCCGGCTGCCGGCTCCCGCGGAGGGCAGAGCCCGGGAGAGGCGCCCCGCGGCCCGCCGCGCTGCGGCTGCCGGCGTGGTGCCCGTCGCAAGCGGGGCCCGCCTGCCTCCGCCCGCCGCGCGGGGCCTGGGGAACCGCCGTGCGGGAGTGCCGCCGGCTTCTCGGGGGGCGCCCCCGCAGCCCTCCGCGGCTCCTGCGGCGGCGCTCTGCCTGCCGGGGCTCCTGGCAGGCTGCTGGGCGAAGCAAGGCCTCCGCGTAGCCATCTTCCATTACGCCAAGGCGGATCGTGCGTCTCAGCCTTGCCCCGGCTGCGCTGGAAAAACGCGGCCTGCCCCGGGGGGCCTGCCCCCTTGGGCGTAGCAGCAGCTTAGTTGCCCGCGAACCAGTGCTTGCCGCACAGAGCGCTGGCGGTGGCAGCCATCACGGGGAGCAGGTAGGAAGAATGTCCTCCTGCCGCCGCCTCCTGAGCTTAATTTTTGAATGAGCCAGGACTAGCACTGCTCAGGTGCTGGTTCAGCTCTTCCCAAAAAGCCCTTGAGCCCTCTCAGGAAATACTCGAAAGCGTCTCTCATTGCAGCCCTGTTCAGTGGGGCTTAGTCCCAGATAAACGTGCATAGGGCTGCAGCCTTGGTTTTCTTTTCTTTCTTTTTTTAAAAAAGCAGAGAGGTTACAGATTGTTACACAGCCCTACCTGCAGAGCCTATGCTGAACCTGGAACATTTTCCTTACAGAATGAGCTATCACTAAACTGAGGCCCCCAAAGCTGCTTTTCCTGCCCTTAAAATATTTCTTCATGAAAATTTAACCCTGCTCCAGTTGCTGTGCTTACAAGAATAGCCTTGTATCTTATTTCCTCTCATTTTGCTGTCTAAAGCCAGTTCAGTTTGCCCAAGTAGGTAGGTGTTCTGCTGAGGGCTATCTTGCCATATTGTCACTTTACTGATGGGCATTTGAAGTTCCTTTGAGCTCTGGAATGCTCCCATTTGTCAGTTTGGAACCTGCAATTTGGCACGCAGTGTCAGGTGGAAGCTGGACACAGGCAAGCAAGTCCCTTTTAAGTGTGTCTGGCTTAGAGGGGAAAGGTATCTTCTTGGGGTTCCTCCATTGTGATGACTTTTTGTTTCTGGGTGAAGCACACGTCTTTGTTCTTCTGACCTGCTAGTTCTCAGATGACACAGTTGATACTGCCCCGGCTACTTGAAATGCACAGGTGTCACTGCTTGGGATCCTGCCTTCCATTTCTGAATGCACTTGCTGCAGTGTGGAATAAAATACCTTTCTGAGGAGGTGCAAGACAATTCCCCTGGCGGATCTGCTGCACACTGGGGTTCACCCACGGCAGTGCTCTCTTGCCATGCCCCTTCACAGCAGCTCTTCAGGTTCCTGAAGCCTTGCCATACCCAGTCCATTTGGCGCGTCTGCTCTGTTGCTTGCAAAGGCATTTAAATTCGCAGTCTTTCTGGCTGACTAGGCTCTGAGCTAGCCTCACTGGCGCTCGTAGTTTTGGTCCTTGCAGCTGCACGTGCCAGTGTCAAACGGTGAATGTTGCTCTGTTGGAGCATCTTCCTTTCTCTCCTGACTCTAAGCAAGCTAACTTGACAGTGTGGACCTTGCGCTTTGGACCTTTATTCTCTCACTCTGCTTAGTATTTGTGATTTTCAAGACGAACGCCTGGGTAATGAAATGGAGTAGCAGATTCTCATTCCTAATCTAGAAGAGTGCAGCACCCTGGGATATTGTGATAGGCTCTCCCAGTTTCCAATAAATAAATGCTCCTCAACTCAGTATGTCAGAGGGGCTTTGAGTCGCTTCCCTGAGTTCAGTGGTGGGGTTGTCTGGAAAAGCTTGAAACGTGTGCTTGATACGGTGTGAGTATTACCACAACACAGTTCATGCTTATATGGAAGGTATTCTCTTGGAATGCTTGATAACAGTTTAAGGCATGGCAACTTACTTGCTTTACAAAGCTTAGATGTAAGAAAAAGTATAGAGATGCTGAAAACTGTTAATTGGTACATGAAGATACTTAAGAATAGATATCTGACAAAAGTTAATAACAAGTTGGATTTTAGGTTTGACCTGTATTGTCTCTTTGATTGCCTAGTTTGACAAGGATTGTCTGCATTATGTCACTAATTTTATGAAACAATTCACAGAAAAATAGAAGGAAATTATCCACACTATATCACTGTGAAAGCAGAGCACGTTAGAAGAGATAGTCAAGATGACTGAGCAGTATGTGGTTTTTTATTGTAAGAGTGTTTGTTCCATAAATTAGATTCCACTCTTTTCTCCCAAGTGTGTGTGTGGTTGGTAGCAGAAGGTGTCCGTATTTTGCTGTTTGTTTTGCTTAAACATTTGACTTGGATCTGTTGGCTGGTAAGGCAACACCAGGACAGCCTTCCCCACCTGCTGCCCACCGGATTTGCTGGGCTGCAGCTCCTGCCATCACCAGGTAGCCTCCTGCCCAGCCTGCTTGGAGGGGCTTAGCTGGGAGACTCTGCACAGCCTGAATCTTACAAAAGAGAGAGCGAGTTTCATGTTTCATTCATGGAAGTAGGATACTGCACTATCTCAGTCCACTTCAGGATGAAATAATAGCATGAAAATAAGGTTAAATAAGCTTGTTTCCTCAGCTGGTGTTGTTTGGCGAATATTTATTCAGTCTTAACCTTTTAAAACTTTCTTCAACACTTCTGACTGAAACGTGGGTCTCTTGGGAGACTCTTCTACAGAGGCGCTGGTCCCCTCTTCAGTAGAATTCCGGAGTATTTACTGGTTGCATTGCATCTCCTTGGGACGTCCCCTCGTGATTCTGCAGGGCTCCAGCTTGTCTGGCTTGCAGGCTCTGATTGCATTGTGCATGCAGCTTAAACTGCAGTGGAGCGTAATGGAAGTTGGATGTAGTAATGATCGGCAGGCGAGATGCAAGCTTCCTCCTGCCAGGGGTGAGATCCTGTTGCTCCACTTCTCAGCTCTGAAGTGCCTTTGGAATCGCTGCTGTCACTGGTCCTTCAGGGAGCAGCTGTGGCTCATGAGCTCCTGAGGATGCAACGAAGAACTTAAGAAAAGCGGTGCTGGGCCAGGTCAAACGGCTCGTAGGGCCAGGTGCCTCTGGGAAGCCCGTCGCAGGGCAGGAGTGTGTGGCACTCTGCTGCCGCCAATACCAGATGCCCCACACAGCCGTTGGCACTGATAACACACACTAGGCATTGATAAGCTTATCATCTGTGAATTCGTCGGGTCCCCCTTAAAAGCTGTCCAGGTCGATGGCCCTCACTGCATCAGGTGGCCACATTCCACCTGATGCAGTGAGAGCCAGTGTGGTGTAATAGTTAAGAGCACGGGACTGGGACTCAGAGGATCTGGATTCAAGTCCCCGCTCAGCCATGGAGCCAACTGGGTGACTTTGGGCCAGTCACAGACTCTCAGCCCAACCTACCTCACAGGGTTGTTGTTGTTGTGGGGATAAGATGGAGGAGGAGAGATAATGTAAGCTGCCTTGAACCCTTTGTAGGAAAAAGGCAGGATATAAATTGAAAAATAAATAAATAAATCCCCTAGTTTCACTGGGAGACGTTCACCTTCTGTTTGTCCTGATTCTCCCACAGCTTAGTTCCTTTGAATGAACATAGGTTCTAGCATTGCCAGAAAGAAGGAAGCTTCTCTATTTCACCCAGTCTGCCTGGAATAATGCTTAGTTCCGTGGCTGCAGCTGGTGCACAACATGGCAACCCACCTTCTGATTGAAGTTGGATTGCTCAGAAGCATAATGCAGTGCCGTTCCATCTGCGCTTGGGAGACGAGCCCTGGCCACAAAGCCTGAAATGGCTTGCGCAATATGCACATCCTTTTCCTGGGTGCCACTGCGACCTGGGAGGTGCCTTGAGCTACTTACACCCTTGAATCCTTCTTCAGTAATCCTGATATGGCTGAGCCGAAGGGTGCACTTGGTTAGACCAAGCCAGTGCAGCTTGTTGGTTCGTGCTGTCCCAGGACTTTGGGGCTCACATGGGTTAACCTGTCTGCTATTGAAGGGAAGTGCAGATGGAGAGGCTTGCCATTCTGGGAATTACCAGAAGATGTGATGCCAAGAGGCCCTGCCCTCTTTCCACGTAATAATGTAAAGCATCTGCATATGGCTTATTTTGTGGCAGAATTCTCATCTGCTGATTTATTTTTTATCCCTTTAATGCAGTGGCCAGTGGTTGTGGATGCTTGTTCTCGAGCTGCCGGGCAGACTCCTGTGTCGCAGACTGTATTTAAGAGTACTTTCACTTCTCAGTTGTGTGTTGAACTTGGTATTTCTGTTGCGAAGGATGCGGCAGTGTTTTTACTCACACTTGTTTAACATCAGCTGTAACAAAGGCAGTAATGCACAGATGGAGAACAGTCAGGGTGTGGCTCTGTTACCTGAGCTCCCGGCAACACCTCTGCTCTCTTATTACAGCTCCAAAGCTGATGACTTGTCAACTGCAATTCTCAAGCAGAAGAACCGGCCCAATCGGCTAATTGTTGACGAAGCTATCAATGAGGACAACAGCGTTGTGTCACTGTCCCAGGTACGTTCAGCATAGAAGCAGGAAACTGGCATGGTTGTGTACCTGGCGGCAGCGGCGGCCGCCGCTTCGATTCTATGCCAGCCATGGTTGAAGCTCTCTGAGCAGTTAACATTTAAGTAACCCGCCTGGCCCAGCCCTGCTTGGCTGCCAGGATCAGGCAGGCACCTCAGGCTGTACGGAAGCTGGGCACGACTGCGCAGGTTTCAGGAAGAGGTCTTCCCGGCTGCTACCTGAGCCATTGACTGGACACTGAACCTGAGATGTTGCTTGCATGAGCACGTGGCTTTCTTCCTCCTTAAGCAAGGTGGCATCCAGAAATGCTAAATGGCAGCCAGTTGACCCCTGAACTGCTCCTGGGGCTTATGTTATAATCCCTTGTATGTGTGGAGGGTTAATTCAGTCAGAAATCGTTGCTTCTCTCTAATGTGAAAGACCCTGATGTGTTTCCCCACAAGCCTCCATTACCTAACTCCCAATTCCTTCAGTGTTTAAGCATACTATTTTATCAAAATAGATGTGTGTTCAAAAAAAAAAAAAAAATTGGTCTGGCTTCATTTAATCTGTCCCTGTTTTGCCTTGCATCCTCTCTCTTTGTGTATACGTGTCCTTATCTGGGAACATTTATTGAGCCAACGCAACACAGGTTTTTGCCAGTTTCAGGGAGCCAGGATTGCAATCCCGATGAAGAATTGGGCATATGTCCGACACATTTTTTCACACTTGTTCACAGGCCAAAATGGACGAGTTGCAGCTGTTCAGGGGAGACACAGTCTTGCTGAAAGGGAAGAAGAGGAGAGAGGCAGTTTGCATTGTCCTGTCTGATGACACCTGTTCTGATGAGAAAATCCGCATGAACAGGGTTGTTCGCAACAACCTGAGGGTGCGCCTTGGAGACGTGATCAGGTGAGCGCTCAGTGTCCGGCTGTGCATGCAGTACGCATTTCGCCGGTAAGGCAGGGGTGTGTGGGGAAGGAGTTCTCCCAAGCACCTGGTCAGCTGCTGGATGGAGCATTAGCTTTTGCTTGTCAAGTTGCAGATTCCCTTACTTAGACAATTGTTAGCCAATATTGGGGGTAACTGGCTTGTCCTGCTTATGACTTAACATTGGCGGCGATCGATTGAATTCATGGCTTTTAAGGTGAAGTCATTAATCTGCCCCAGGTAATATTTTTTAAAAGCCTCTAAGCCGCCCAGAGGAGGAACCAGCCCAGAAATAAACATCAGTGTTCAATATTAGCCCAGGTTCGAATTGCACATTGGCGAGTGCTCCCAGATGACATTGTCCCTCTGTTGTCTTTGAAAGGAAGGTGCAGCATCTGCACAGGGAGCCCTGCCAGAAGGAAATGCTTAGTTGGTTGTCCTGCCCTTTCATCAGGGCTTGGAAATAGCTTCCCATACTTCCCTCTGGCTGGTGGGAAACTTTCTGACCTCAGTCCAGGAATAAAGCCGCCCTGGGGGTGACCGAAAACGCCATTTCGTTTCAGCATCCAGCCTTGTCCAGATGTGAAGTACGGCAAGCGCATCCATGTGTTGCCCATTGATGACACCGTGGAGGGGATCACCGGGAACCTCTTTGAGGTCTACCTCAAGCCATACTTCCTGGAAGCCTACAGACCGATCCGAAAAGGTAGTGGTGCCCAGCAAGCAAGCAGCAGGGAGGGGGCTGGCAAGCAGAGAGCCGGAGCCCAGCCTGCGGAGTGTGGCTCAGGCGGCGGGTGGGCCCCTGCCTGTGGCTCGACCTGCCCACCCTCTGCTGGGTCGTCCCAAGGGAGGGGCTGTGGCGTGAGCGGTGGCATTGCAGGCGGGCTTGCTCTCACCAGGCGCGAGCCCTGAGCCTGGGCCGCACTGGGTGTTTTTGCTGTAGTGCAGTGTGATCCGTTGCCAGGGCTGATGGGACTCGCCATAGGAAAAAACCTGAGGAGCCCCGGGCTGGAGGGCTGGTCTGAGCCATAACGGCACCTTGCTGAGTGGGAGGGTGTTGCCAAGGGTGCCGAGACCAGGCTCTGGGATTACCTGATGTCAGCCCTCGCTGAGATGCCGGGGGGCTGTGGGTGGAGGTGGGGAGATGAGCGCTCTGCAGGAAGGTCGAGTGGCTGCGGAGATCCCTGCAGCCGTGACAAAGGGCGTCTCCTGTGCTTTCTCCCGGACTCTGCCACCCCTGGTTCCTTTGAGGGGACTGATGGGCGGGAAGCTAACCGGCACGAGTTAGTTATTCGTTCACGCTTTCTACTCGCAAAGCAGCTGAGAAATAACAAAGAATAGCAACCGTGCCATCAAAGCATTGGAAGAGCCCTCCTGCATCAGATAGTCCGTTCTAGTGCCCTGTTTCCTACTGGATGCAGGCAGGCAGGCAAGCAGGCACCTCTCGAGCACCTGCAGGAGGCTCTCAAGCAGTAAAGAGGATCTCGCCATTGGCCCTGCTGCTCCTCAGCCTGCAGGTGCCCGTGTGGCCATCATCAGTCGTGATCTGCTCCTACCAGGGTTCAGAGGGGTGCTGCTCCTGGGCGCGGAATCCGAATTTTTTAATGCTGTATTTGGTTTGCCTTTACCTCTGGGTGGGGGTGGGAGTGTGTGCTGCACGAGGCACCCTTTGCCGGTCCTGTCTGAAGAAGAGTAGCTGGGCTCTTGCACGAGTAGTGCCGATCGCTCGCGCGCCGCCAGACCCTCGCCGGGAGGCTTTTCCTACCTGCAGCTCTGGCAGCCGGCTCTTCCGTTTAGCCTGTGCTGAACGCGGGTGCCGTTCTCCGTGCACCTCCACTGCCCAGCTGCTGCCTCTCGTGGGGAGCTCTGAGCAGTTCTGAGCTCCTGCACCAGGGCTGCGCTCGCTGGAGCACCTTCCGAGTGGAGCGAGTCGCGCTCTCGACATCCCCGCAGTGGCCGAGTGGTGGCAGCTTGCAGCAGAGCCCCCTTGTCCGGCGGCCCTTTCTGGCAGGGGACTCGTGCAGGCGGCCTCCTCATGAGGAACAGTGTGGGCTTCCCTGCAGGGGGCAGATTACAGTGGGCGGAGGTGTGTGAGGACGGGCGGCGCTCCCACTCACGCCTGCGTGCTTTGGGAAGGCCCAGGCTGCTGCCAGTGGCCAGGCGGCCAGCTTCTGGAGCGAGGGAGCCCCCTGGAGGAAGACTCCCGTAGGCAGCTTCCTCCCCGTGTGGTGGAGTGGACCGCTGTGGCAGCCCCTGCGGGCGCCTCGCCCAGGGGAGGGTGGCGCCTGTCGGCCCCTGTCAACACACTGCCCATTTCAGGGGACATCTTCCTGGTGCGTGGAGGGATGCGTGCGGTAGAGTTCAAGGTGGTGGAGACGGACCCGAGTCCCTACTGCATTGTCGCGCCGGACACCGTGATTCACTGTGAGGGAGAGCCGATCAAGCGAGAGGTGAGTGGTGGCTCAGGCTCGTTCCACAGGGTTTCTTCTTCCTCTTGGAAAGATCTGTGCGAAGGGGTGGGAATGCCTGTCTTAGGACGAGGGAAGCTGACAGCCACATCCGCCGTCCCGCCCTGGAGGGAGTGGTCCCCTCGAGGAAGAAGGGCCTTCTCTGCTCTCAGAAAGATCCTGCCAAGACAACCGCTCCATGGGAATTCCTCAGCCTGTGGCATCTTGTAAGCCAACCAGAGATGACAGTAATGGACGGCCTATAAATTTCCTAAATAAATACCCATGATGCACTTTTCTATGAAGAATGAAGCAGGCGTGCAGAACTGCAAGCTGAGAGGTTCAGACTCTTGGCCGCTGTGCCACTCGGGACCAGTGAATGCTTAAAATGATGGAAATACTCAGCATGAGTATGGGAAGGGGAACCGGTTAGGAAAACCCAGATAGGCTGATCCTGGAACTTAGTGAGGCCATGAAGATAGAGGAGTCTGGGGACTCGTTCCTTTCAAACCGGTTGGACATGGTTGCTGCTCTGGTCGACCTCCGGGTCCTTTGCGCTTTCATGGCTTGTCCCCTCCCAGGATGAAGAGGAATCCCTGAACGAAGTGGGCTATGATGACATTGGAGGCTGCCGAAAACAGCTGGCTCAGATCAAGGAAATGGTGGAACTCCCCCTCAGACACCCCGCTCTCTTCAAGGCGATTGGTGTGAAGGTGGGTACCTGGCTCGGTCGGAGAATCCTGTTGCCCGGCCCTGCCGAAGGCTGGCATCATGCTCTGGGGGCCGAGGCCGGGGCCTCTTGTGCTGGCAGCATGCAGAGGCAGCCATATGTTGGGACCATATTTAAAGAGTGTCCTGGCAGCTCCAGAAACCTTTCCTGTGTGCCCCTGCTGGGGCTTGACTGGAGCTCGGTCTTACCCGCACGTTCTAGCCTCCCCGTGGGATCCTGCTGTATGGGCCGCCTGGCACTGGGAAGACCCTGATTGCCCGAGCCGTGGCGAATGAGACGGGAGCCTTCTTCTTCCTGATCAATGGTGAGCGCGAGGCAACAGCTGTGTGTGTGGATGAGTGGAGCTGCATGCTTGCTTGACTAGGGAGGCAGCAGGGTGGAGGGGAGTGACCCTCGGATGCAGACGTTCCTCCCAGTGCGTGTTTCCTCGCGAGGACACTTTTCATGAGGCGGCAGTTCAGTTCTCTGCGAGCAGAAGTGTCCCTCCTGCGGCGACATCTCCATTTCAGTGTGTGCATCTCTGAGTGGAGTTGTGGGTTGCACGATACGCCTGAGTGGCTGGCACTTTCTGGCAGACTTGAAGTGGTGCGCTTCCTCTCCTCCGGCGCCCTTCTTCCTGTGCAGAGGTCATTTCCTGCTCTTCAGTCCTTATGTCAAAGAGAGAAGTAAAATTCTGCATTGATCTGGGTCAGGTCTCACTAGTTTTATGCTTGTTTTGTTTAAGCTATTTTTCTAGGCAGCCTATACTATAAAAATTGCAGGAAAAAAACCATAGTTTAGTGTTAAAAGAGAGCAGTTTCCTCCTGAACAAGGTAATAAAAATACATAACACTAAACCAGTTTAAAACAAGGTTGTCTGCACAGATACAAGATAGCAGTTTTGCCTTGTCTCATGGGAGAATCCTTATTCTTCCCTTGAGCACTGTGTGTTTATGAAAGACTTTGCCAGGCTAGGCAGTCTGTAGAGAACCTGTCTCCTTGGAAACCTCAGGGTCTCTCAAGACACTTGCAGGAAGTTCTCAGGTCAGTGCCATGCAGTCAATATCAGGTACAAAGAAGATGGTGACTTTTGTATCTCCTTTTCAGTATTTTAAGACTGTTCCTTCCATTTCTGAATCAAAACCAGCTGCAGAGCCTGGTTGAGAAGCGGTACAGACAGCCAGGAGTAGTACTGAAAGGATTTAGAAACCCACCCTATTGCTAGGCTCGGGTTGGCAGCCCGGCTTATCCTCATTTAGAAGCAGTCCTCCATTTCCTTCCTATGTGAGTGCAGCTTCTCTGTTTTTTCGCAGGTCCTGAAATAATGAGCAAATTGGCAGGCGAGTCAGAGAGTAATCTGCGGAAGGCCTTTGAGGAGGCTGAAAAGAACGCTCCTGCCATCATCTTCATCGATGAGCTAGATGCCATTGCTCCAAAAAGGGAGAAGGTGAGTGTTTTGCTGCCGTGTGGGGACTGTCGGCGCTCCGTTTGTGGGCACCACACTTTGAAATTAAATGCGTGAGCGGGGCTTAGCGACGTGTTGCAGCGCCGGCGGTGCCTCCCCATGGTTGTGTCACTAGGTCCCAGTTCTTCGTTCTAAGAGTCAGCTCTTCAGACTTTTCTTCCCCGTGGCCATGCACACATGCTCAGTTCTCTGCGTTTCACTGAAGAGGTAACTGCATGCCCTTCTCATGTTCGCTTCAGTGTTCCATCTCCGAACAGGACCTCTGAGGGACAAGGAGGGTCGTGTGGCAGGCAGGCACGTCCTAGCGAGTGTAGCCTGCCAGCCCCCTGGTGCCACTTGCCCCGTGGCTCTGTGGGGCCCTGCATCAAAGCCTGCGTTTGAGCGTGTGCTTCGGCAAAGGACGTCGTGCGCAGGCGCCTGTCCCCCTCGTTGGTGAGCTTGTCTCCTGGCACGCTTTGTGGGGATCCACGTCAGGTTGTGATGTGAAGCCGGGCCTTCTCCCGTCTGATCGTCTCACTGTCACCTGCTCTCCACAGACACATGGCGAGGTGGAGCGGCGCATCGTGTCGCAGCTGCTGACGCTCATGGATGGCCTGAAGCAGCGAGCGCACGTGATTGTGATGGCCGCGACCAACAGACCTAACAGCATCGATCCGGCACTCCGGCGATTTGGTAACAAGGCCTGTCTGGTTCTTCCGGTGGGTGGGGAAGCCGCAGTTTGGTACACGTTGGCTGGTGCTTTACGCCTGGGGTGGCGTCAGGGAAGTGGCACACCCCCGCAGCATCCTGGGGTTTCGAGAGCATGGCACCCAGTGCCTGGAGGGCCGCAGCCTCCCGCGTAACATTTGCCGTTTCTGGGGGAAGGCCAGGTTTGCACGGGCTGTGGACGGCCTCTGCAGCTCTGGGCCACTGCACAGGTGTGAGCCAGAGCACTCCTCCACACAGCCTTTGGCGGGCCGGTCGGGGCACTGAGTAAACCGAGGGGGCAGCAGAGCGCAAGATTGGCTGGCTCCTCACTTCGGCCTCTGGCCTAGTTCACATGTGCCATGGCAGAAATGAGTCGGCAGCCTTTTCCTTGATCGCATCACTTCAAGTTGCAGGTGGGAATTGGCACACTGTGGAAAAACGTTTCGGAGGGGGGAAAATAAATGAATACTCTGCATGTAGGGAGGTGGGGGGCTTGGTGTAGGAATAATCACATCTCTGGTTCGTTATTAGTCTGAAGTGGTCTCATTGCTGGGCAGCTGCTGGGCCTCTGCTCTGATGGGAGAACAGCTGCAAGGAAGTCTCTGGGGCGAGCGTGGCAGTGAGGCTGGCTTGCCAGGAAAGATCTGGCTGACCCGGCGGCTTGCCAGCCACTTCAGCCCCATTCTCAGTATCTGTGCCCTTTGGCTTGATCGGAAATGGCCCCTCAGCCGGTCAGCAGTGCTGGCATGGCGCCGCAGGCCATAACCAAGTGCCGTGGGAGGCTGGCGTTTGTGGGAATGTAGAGCATGGTTGCCTCTGGGCTGTGTGGTTCCGTCCTTTGGGCGCCTTGCCTGCCAGCGTGTCCTGACCCATTGGGGTGATCGAGATGAGCGTTCGGACAGTTTGAGATTCTGCCCGCGGAAGCAAACGCGCCGTTTCCTCTGGTGTTCCACAGGTCGCTTTGACAGGGAGGTGGATATTGGCATTCCGGATGCTACTGGCCGCCTGGAGATTTTGCAGATCCACACGAAGAACATGAAGCTGGCCGATGATGTCGATCTAGAGCAGGTTCCTTTGCTGTTTTTCTTCAAAGAAATATGTTCACTTAAAACTGGTTTACGTTGCCCGAGTTGAACGTTCACAATAGGCCATAAAACGCAGCAAAAGTGATTTTTAAGCTAACAGGCACAGTAGCGAGGGGTCAGGGCGCTTTGCCAAGTCGCCCTGGACGCATTAAGCCGATTCCGAATTCGGCTAAGAGCAGCTTTAAGTGGGAAGTATCGTTACTGCTCCTCTGAATACCTACCTGTACAAAAGGCACCGGCACGTGTCAGTCGGAAGGGAGCTTCAGGATTGGGGCCATCACCGAGGAGACTCTGGACCTCAGATGTGCAAGCAACTTGGTGCACGGGCAAGATTATATGGGCACAGTTGGTCCCTCAGCAGGAAGCCCCCAAGTAATGTAGGGCTTTAAAGGTTCGTGCCGGTCTTTTGAATCCGCTCAGTGGCAGAGCAGGTCCTCGACATCTTTGGAGGGGGCGGGGAAATCCCTTCCTGAAATATTGGAGGTGGCCCTGGTGCCGGGCGTGGCTTCCGAGTTCCGGTGCCCATCACCTCACGGCCGCTGGCACAGCTGCTGCAAAACGGGAGCTGCTTTTCCTGCTTCCCTGGCACTCTCCAGCCCCCAAGTGGCTGCATTTTTCCTCCAGATGCAGCCCCTCCAAAGGGGGTATCGCAGCAGCCCCACGTGGGTGCAGCCGATGCCTGGTTCCGGGGGAGCAGGGCAGACATTGCAGGTGGGATTACAGCCCTTCAGAAAACACTGAGTTCTGGAGCAGCCGCAAGGAGGGGCAGCCCCTCCAGGACTGGACGCAGAACCCCCTCCAGAGCTGGCAACTTCCTCGCCCAGTTCCACCCATCTTCTTCCCCCTCATCCATTTCACTGCTGCATCTGGGCTTTTGTTCAAGAGCTCCAGCGCTTTTGCTGGACTCCTTGGTGAAACGAGAAGGGGAGTGGCTAGTGATTGCGGCCCGAGGGGAGGAGGCCTGTGGCCAGGCGGGAGGCTGGAGATGACTGTCGCTTCGCTAGATGAGGGTTGGCCTGCGTTCGGGGGCCCACGCCAGCCGCAGAGGAACGGAGCCCCATGCCCCGTTCAGGACGGTACTGGAACGAGCGCGCGTGAAGCGCAGCCACTGCTCTGTTTCTTCCTCCCCGGTGCCCCACGGGCTGCTGCTGGGAGTGCAACCTAAGGCTGTGGCCACTGTGGCAGTGCTCTTAACTGCGAGTCTCGCCTGGGGAGGTGGTGCTTTGTTTCGCCTCGGCGTTATTCGGTGTTGGTTTCTCAGGACGGGGTGGTAAAATGCTGACCAGCCTCAGCAGCCCCTGCAGAGCTTGGGCTGCAGCCTTAAGTCTGGAGGAGGAGGACGCAGAAGATAGCGATGCCAGCTATATCCCCGGCACAGCCGGCACACACACGAAGCCAGCCCAAAGAGTGCCAGCGACCGCCTGCCATTCCCCCTGCAGGGGGATAGTTCTGCATCTGCTACGATTTGGGCATCTTCAGGCAACCGCCTGGGGCCACCGTTGGGTTTCTGCCCCATCTCCTTTGGGATGGAACTGCCCACCGGAGTGCTCATTTGTGCCCCTTTCGCTGCAGGTGGCCAATGAGACCCACGGCCATGTGGGGGCAGACCTGGCTGCGCTGTGCTCCGAGGCAGCCCTGCAGGCCATCCGGAAGAAGATGGACCTCATTGACCTCGAGGACGAGACCATTGATGCCGAGGTCATGAACTCGCTGGCCGTGACCATGGACGATTTCAGGGTAAGCTGCTCTCCGCACAGGCAGCTGTGCCAGGAGATTGTGCAGATCCTGTCGGCCTGAAACGGTAGTGAACCGCCTCTCACCCTCTCCTTGCAAATTCCAGTGGGCCCTGAGCCAGAGCAACCCGTCAGCCCTGCGTGAGACTGTGGTAGAGGTCCCCCAGGTGACCTGGCAAGACATCGGGGGCTTGGAAGATGTTAAGCGAGAACTCCAGGAGCTTGTACAGGTGAGAGCCCCTGCCCCAGGACTCCCGATCGCTAAGCCAGAGCTGGCTCTTGCTTGCGTGAACCCAGGCTGAGGCCGAGTGTTGCACTCTGCCCGCCCGCATCCGTCATGCGTCGCCTTTGTGGATGGCGTCGAGCGGGGAGCAGCGGCAGCATGGGAGCACGCTGCGGGGCAGACCCTCCTGCTTTTCTGCGTAAGTGGAGGCACTTGTGCCAGGAGCTCTGGGAGGAAGCCAGATGAGCAAATGTTCTTTGCACTCAAGCTGGGTCCGCGTGAAGAGTGTTTCTTCAGGATGCCGCGTGGGTGGTGGTCCTAGCTAGATTACGGACGGCATGCGGGTCTTGGACAAGTTGAGTGAACAAGGAGGCCCTGCAGTGCAAGGGTTTTGTCTGTTCCCTTAGCTGTTTTTCATGCGTGCCAAGTCTTCTTACAAAACCAAGATGCCTGTAATGTGACCTGTGGTTTTGGTTGACACATTTGCCAAGAAACCTAGCTGTGAACTTGCTCTGTGTTTCTAAAGCTAAAAGCAACCGGTTGTGTTCCTTTACATCCCCGGGAACAGTGCTCCTAATGACTAGCTTCAGAACAGTGGCCATCTGGGGACTGCTTTCTCTGGGCTCCTGGCGGAATGGCTTTCAGGCGCAGGATTGTTCTGCCACTGTTTGTTCCGTTTAGCTGTGGCGGCCACACTGCGAATGCCTTAATCTGCCTCCACCAGGCCCCTTTGTCATGATTTCTGTGGGACAGAGCCCCACGCAGCTTGCTCTCCCCCGCCCTGGGCTGACGTTGAACTTTCTGCTTCTTCAGTACCCAGTAGAACATCCTGACAAATTCCTCAAGTTTGGCATGACCCCCTCCAAAGGCGTGTTGTTCTATGGACCTCCTGGTTGTGGGAAGACCCTGCTGGCCAAAGCCATTGCCAATGAATGCCAGGCCAACTTCATCTCCATCAAGGGTCCAGAGCTGCTCACCATGTGGTTTGGAGAGTCGGAGGCCAATGTGCGCGAGATCTTTGACAAGGTAAGGCTCTGTCTGACCCTGGACATCTCTGGTTCTGGAGTGCGCTCACTTAACGATGTCTGTGCTGCGTCTGGCTTGGCTTTCCAGCGCAGCACTTGGCTTCTGCTGTGGACCCCAAGAAGCTCCTTGGAACGGGACAGTGTGTGCTTGCGAATCAAAGGTATACTGCTGCTGAGCGTGGAGCTTTTCCTTAGCTACCTGCAGTGGTGTTAGAGCGGCTGACATTGCAAAATCCTGAATTTTCACTGCTTATATGGCAAATTTATCACAGACTTGACTACAGGTTGTCTTAACCTCTTTCAAAAGCAAAGACAGCTAAAATTTCCAGCAAACAGAATCAAAATCCTTTGAGGGTATGGTGGTTGAAAGTTTGCAGGCCAAACTCTTGTTAGGCAGATTGAAGGTTAATAGGCTAAACATTGTTATGCAGATTTTACTGCTACCTGTAGCTGCAGAGAAAATCAAGTCTTAATTACCTCTACTAAGTTAGATCCATTCTTAGGGCAATTCAGATGTTCTGGGGAAAACATTTACTGCACCCAGGGCCTTTTTATAGGCAACACTGGATTTGCCTGAGGTAGTTAGTCTGGAGCCAAAAAGTGGCTCCTTTTCCATCCAACAGCAGGGCATTTTGATGCGTTTATTTTTCAGGACGAAGCCTATGTGGGACTTCCACCAAATCCGTAGTGTAAGCAACAGAAAATGAGTTCCTTATTTTTTCCAAGCCATTCATAATGTTATAAACCAGCATTTGTCCTTGAATTGTAAGCCAAGAGCCCCACTGCTTGGCATCTTCTGGAATTGTGGCCATCTGCCTTCTCCAGCAGCGCCTAGGACCACTGTGCTTCCCTGCTGCCAGGGACGTCCAGACGGGGCCTTGGGTGCACTGCAGGTCTGCACAACGGCACGACAGTTGTGTGCTGTTCGGTTTCTCAGTTCCGCCCCTCAGTTTCCCCCTTCGCGTGGTCACAGCGCTTGACCACCGTGATCAAGCGCTTGACCACCGTGATGTTTCCTCGTCCCACCCAGACGCACCTCAGAGCGTTGCCTCCGGAAATGCGGAGAACTCCAGAGGCGCAGCTCTCGGTGTCTCGCAGCCTCGCCGGAGCAGTGGCTTCCGTCCTGGTTGCAGCACTGTAGCCACGGGCGAGTCACGCACTCGCCACCACTGCCCTGGTGAGCACAGGGCGGCAGCTGGGCTTTGGCGGGGAATCGGCCCAGGCTGAGCCTGCCGGCCCATCTGCCGCCGCCGCCCGCCCACCCACCCACCCCAGCGGTGAGTGGGGCAGTTGGGTAAAGTAATGCTCTTGGGGGAGAGGGCAGCCCAGAAGGCCTCGCCCACACACTTAAAGGACGTGGCCCTTGAAGGACAATGGAGTGGCGCGTGGCCCGTGAGCCCACTGCATCGGAGCCACAGGAAGGGCCGTGGCAGCTGCCCGGGCAGGGTGCCCCGCGGGCAGCGCTACCCTCCACGCCGCTCCCTCCACACAGGCCCGCCAGGCAGCGCCCTGCGTGCTGTTCTTCGACGAGCTGGACTCCATTGCGAAGGCTCGCGGTGGGAACATCGGCGACGGGGGCGGCGCCGCAGACAGAGTCATCAACCAGATCCTCACCGAGATGGACGGCATGTCGACCAAGAAGAACGTCTTCATCATTGGCGCCACCAACCGGCCGGACATCATCGATCCCGCTATTCTGCGCCCCGGGCGCCTGGACCAGCTGATCTACATCCCGCTCCCCGATGAGAAGTCTCGCGTGGCCATCCTCAAGGCCAACCTGCGGAAGTCGCCTGTCGCCAAGGCGAGTGTGTGCCGAGGAGCGTGCGCGGGGCTGGCGTGCGGAGGGGCCCGTGCCCGTACTCAGGAAGGCCTGGGGGGCATCCTGCGGCCAGGGATGGACCCGACAGGACCCTTTGCCCCGTGGCCCCGCTTCCATGCCCAGGGCCCCGTCCTTTCCCAGTCGGGGGGTCATCAGATGCTCGCCTGCCATCCCGCCTAGAAGGAGGCGAGCATCACTGTTCTGGCCGCAGCGAGTGCACGGGCCCCACGCCTGGGAAGCTCTGGCTGCCACACCATGTGGAAAAAGGGGGCCGATTCCATGCGCTGCGCTTCTGCGTTGAAGCCTCTGCCCAGGGCGTTCAGGCAGGCGAATGCAGGCGAGGGACATGCTCTGGGTGCAGCTGTGGGAGAGGCCGCTGGGAAGGAAGGGGAACTGGGCCTCTTTGGAGGCTGACGCTGGCCGCCGCCGGCTGGGGCAGAGGTGGCTCGGGAAGGCAACTCCTTGGGTGTGCCCTTGAGCAGCACCCCTCCTGCGCCTTCCAGAAAGCGGGGGCGCCCGGGGGAGCAGCTCTTGCTGCTGCAGGAGCCGCTCTCGGTCCCTCTCGCCCGGGCCTGGGAAGGACGTGGCTGGAGTGGGTCGGCCGGGCCCACCTGGCTGTCGTTCCTGGAGTCGGCCGAATGGCTGCAGCAGCGCGGCACGGTAGGCGCGCGTGCAGGAAGGGATGTGTGGGGTACGTGACACGTGGGCCTGCCTCATCTCCTCAGGATGTGGACCTCGAGTTCCTGGCCAAAATGACCAACGGCTTCTCGGGAGCCGACCTCACGGAGATCTGCCAGCGGGCCTGCAAGCTGGCCATTCGCGAGTCCATTGAGAGCGAGATCCGGCGGGAGCGGGAGCGGCAGACGAACCCTTCTGCCATGGTGAGTGCCTTGCCCGGGTCTGCCTGCTGGGAGGGACCGGGTGTCCGTAGGGCGTGCCTGGCCGGCAGGCGGCCACAGCCCGCACCTCAAGCTGAGAGCTGCGTCTTCGCTGTCTAGGAAGTGGAGGAGGACGACCCGGTGCCTGAGATCCGGCGCGATCATTTTGAGGAAGCCATGCGCTTCGCCCGTCGCTCCGTCAGTGACAACGACATCCGCAAATACGAGATGTTCGCGCAAACCTTGCAGCAAAGCCGAGGCTTCGGCAGCTTCAGGTAACCGGGGCAGCGTGGTGGGGAGCGGACGGCCGCGTTCCCGGGAGCCCCCTTCCAGCACACGCGCTTCCGCCTCAGGCACCGGTACGGGCAAGGGGGACATGCGCACTCGGGCGGGGGTCTCGGCTCTGCAGTCACGGCGGTCCTGCCCATGCCCAGCACTGCTGCTACACCCGCTCCCCTTCCTGGGATCATCCGGGCAGGGCCGGCGGTTTCTCGTGGCAGAATAGCCTGAGGCCGGCAGGCGAGTCCGAGGGGAGGCGTGGCCTCCCCCGTGGGCAGTGCGGTGCCGCGTGGCCTGAGCCGTGTGGTGCTGCTCCATCTGGGGAAGGGCCCCCATCACACTTCCTGCGTACAGCGCCCCGCAGCAGGCGCGGGGATCCCGTCGCCCCACGCTGGCCTGGCCAGGCGCTGGGAGCCGTGCTCTGTGGCCACCTGGCGACTCCCCAGCCGGGGCCTCCAGCCGTCCACTGGTGGGCGTTTGATCCCCACTGCTCGTGCTCCACCTCTTGCAGATTCCCGTCAGGTAACCAAGGCGGTGCCGGACCAAGCCAGGGCACAGGAGGCAGCGGGGGCGGAAATGTTTACAGCGAAGACAACGACGACGATCTGTATGGTTAAAGGGCTGCCGGAGTGGACCAAATTCCAGGGCAGGCCACGCTGTACACGGCAATTCCAGCAGTTGTGGACTCCTGGCTTCCTCATTCCTCGGTCAGACCCATGTAGCTGCGTGTCGGGTTCTGTGCGCTGGAGTCTGCTGTAAATGCAAGGCGGTTGGCTGGCTGGCTGGATTGGCTGGGAGGCAGGTGGGCAGTTTGCGCGGAGGGGGACTGACTGCACTTCTGGGAAATTTCTGTTCTAGTTTTATGGCAGAATCAGCAGCTTTAGCAACGGGTACAACAATAGCCTGTAAAAACAAAAACAATTTAAAAACCCCAAAATAAAAAAAATCCCATAACTTCAAGCCGGCTTCCACCTTCCTCTGTTTCTGGGAGTCCTCATGTCTGCTTTTATTGTTCATCCTGGCCATGGATACCTCTGAAAACAGGCCTTGGTGCGTTTCCCTGGAGCTTGTGATTTCTTCTCTTGGGGAAAAAAGGGAAATGCCTCTCTCAACAGCAGGCATGGTGTACTCTGGGCCCACAGGAAGCAGGGCCTGCCTTGGGAAGAGGCCCTCCGGGAGTCCGATGCACCTGGGCTGCTGTGGTGGGATTGCTTCAGACAAGCCCCGACTTCTCTTGCGGCAGCTCACGCTGCCTGCCTGGACGTGGCTCTGCCCTCTTCTCCCCAGCATTTGTGCAGCAGCTTCGAGTGCTCAGGGCGTTTTGTGTTGATCAGCTCAGTCACCCTGTGTGGAAGCAGTGGATGGTTGTGGGGCCGCTGGGGGGAGAGGGGTGCCTTCTCTGAAGGCCTCGGGGGATTCGTGGCAGGTGAGGCTGGCTAGTCCGCGGTGCTTTGCTGCTGTGCTCCACTAGACCCAGTTCGCAGGGGCTGCGTGCGCGTCGCTTCTACCAGAAGCTTCACTGCCAAAGGCAGCTGGAACAACCAACTTGAGTTAACCAACTTCCCAGTACTGGCCTGTGACTGGCTTGAGGCATGATTCAGCGAGACCACCCGAGTAGAAATTAAATTTGTTCTAGGAAAGGTTGAATAAGAGAAGCTCCCAGTGGCGTGTACCCTCCCAATCTTAGAATCACAAAGGAAAAGTGTAGGGTGTGACTAAATGAGCTTAACGAGCCACATCCAGTGCCCTTTCAGTGGTGGGATACTTAGAAAAGGACCGTAACTTTGCAGAACGCAGCTCCGGTGCGGAAGCCGCTTGCATTAATACCAGGCGGGCCCTGCCCTCTGATTATCGTTCAGTTCGCATTTCTCTTTCTGTGCTCACCCTTTGTCACTCAATGACTGTATTCCACCCGCAGACCAATTACGATAATTTCAGCAGCTCCGCTTGCCGTGGTTTTCTGGGGACGTGGCTGTGCGCGTTTGTTTGTGTTCAGAATCGTTCTTCCCCGCAGAAGCCCAAGGGCAGCGCTTCTGTGGCAGCCGCACAAGCAGGAACACTGGCCGCTGTGTCGACACACACCCATTTGCCCACCGTCGCGAAGCAGTGGCCACGGGGGTGGCCAGGAGCATGAGCCAAAGTGGGCAAGACGGCGGGGGGCCTTTTTCTGGCACGCTCTGGTCGTCGTGGTCGTGGTAGTCAGCACATGTGCTTCTGGGTCACCAACAGCGGGAAACTGGTGTCCTGCACCAGCAGGGGGTTGGACCCGGTGGCCTTCATGGCCCCCTCTAGCTCTGCTCTTCCGATTCCGTGGTTCTGCCGCCACGTCTCTTAGCCATTCAGGCTGCTTTTCAGTCCAGGAAGGACAGGAGGGGGAGCCAGAGCAGCTGCTGTGCCCCCTTGCTGCTGGAAATGGCGTGTCCGTGGCAGGCTGAACGGGCACTGGAGAAAGCAGTGGGAACACTTCTCGCCTCCACTGCCCTGGGGCTGGCTGGCTGGCTGGAAGCGCGTGCGCCAGGTGCCGCTTGAGAGGGCCGTGTTGGTTTAAGGGGGGGCAATGCTTCCTCAGGTGGACGCGACCTTGAAGCGCATTAAAGAATGAAGGCCCGGCCAGGCCTGTCTGCTCCTTCGAGATCCTCTCCGGGCAGCAGCAAGCTTTCCTCTGGGCGAAGCAGTGACAGCTGCCTCCGTGAGTGGCCAGGGAGTGCTGCCCGGCCCCAGCCGGGAACTGGGTGCCAGACTGGCCAGGCGCCCCCCTCGCCCCACAGAGCGATCCTGCTCGTTTGCAGTGGGTCGACTGGCGCAGGAACCTGTACTCCTGGTACAGCTCACCAGAGGACGACCCAGGCCTGAATGAGCTGCGCTGGCCATCGCTTACGCAGAGATCTTCAGTCATTCTCACCTGTGCCCACCCCCAGGCTTCCTTTGACTTGCCGTGAGCAGCTATTTTGTACTTAAGGGTCACAGTGGGTGGCAGGAACAGGCGAACGGCCTCACAGGTAACCTTTTTCTTTGGATGCACTGGCCGTCTCAGATTCTGCAGCATTTAGGATTTGGGCTCCAGTAAGAGCCTTTTCTTTTTTCAAATAACGAGGCAACTGAGCGCTCCATTATTCCCAGTATTACAATAAAATATTAAGCCTGTAGAAGCAGCCCTAATCAAACACATTCACCAACTCTTCATTCAAATAGGTTTTCAGCTAATGGCACCTGAGGGACAAGTCACACGGCCACAGTAAGCCTCTTGCAATTGGAAAAGTCCTGGCTTTTGCCTGGGGGGCCGGGGTGGAACTGTGGAGGCAAAGCTCCCCCTGCAGGAAACCCACATGTGCTGGGAGGTTGCGGGAAACCGCTGAGCGTGAGCGGCCTCCTGTTCCCCCCGCAAGCCACCCGCTCAAGGCGTCGCAGCAGCCGGAAGGGGGCTGCAATGTGCTCCACACGGCTGCTTGCTGCGCACTTCGGGGGTTCAGAACGGGGGGTGGGGGGACTGGCCCACCCCTTGCCGGCTGGGCAGTACCCAAGAGTGCGCCCTGAAGCCGCCCCCCTGCGCGTCCGTTCCCGCTCCTGCCTCAGTGCTCAGGAGTGGCAAAGGAGGAGGTGCTGCCCAGGGAGGGCAGGAGACGTGCAGACAACTGGCCTGGAGAAGGGCCGCTCTCCCCTTCAAGAGGGAAGGAGGAGATGAACCGGGGACCTGGAGAGCACTTCGTCTGACAGCAATCCCTGGAAAAACGCTGCAGCACATTCGAAAGCAAGCAGCCAGCCAGCACCTTGAAGACAACGCAGGAGGAATTGCTAGAAGCCGGCATGGATTCCTCAAGAACCAATCCTGCCAGACTAACCTGATTCCATTTCTTGACTTGGTAACCTCCCTGGGGGGCTGTGGGAATGCTGTGGGCATCATCTATCTAGGCTTTAGCAAGGTTTTTGACGACGTGTCCCGCGAACTAGCAAAAAGCAGCCCACCAGGTGGAGCCACAGTTGGCTGCAAAATCGGATTCAAAGAGCGCTCCTCAATGGCACCTTCTCAAACAGGAGAGGTGATGGGGGGGCGGGGGGGGACAGTGCTGGCCGGGTTCACTCCTGGGACTGGCACTCCAACACTTTTGTTAATGATTTGAGGAGGAAGTACAAGGAAAGGTAATGAAAGTTGCAGATGACGCAACGCTGGGTGGAATAGCAAATATCCCTGAAGACAGAATGAAGATCCGGGGTGACCTGGGCAGGCTGAAACACTGGGCAAAGAACAATGGGATGAAATTCAACAGGGACAAAGGCCAAGTCCTCCACTTCGGAACAGGAAACCGAATGCACGGCTACAAGCTGGGGAACATTTGGCTCAACAAGGCTGCAAATGAGAAGGATCTCGGGGTTGTTGTAGATCACAAGCCAAATATGAGCCAACAAAACGACGCAGCAGCAAAAGGCAGATGCTATTTGGGGCTGCATCAGCGGCAGCATCACCTCCACAACCCGTGGAGCACGAGGTCCGCTGTCCTCGGCACGAGTCCGACCTCGCCTGGAGTGCTGGGCCCTGTTCCGGGCACCTACGTTGGAACAGGCGCAGGCGAGCTAGAAAGGCGCAGAGGATTCGGGGACGGGAGGCAGAGCCCCGTGAGGGAAGACGGGAGCACTGGGCACGTTCGGCTCGGGAAGCAAAGTCTGAGGGGAGAGGAGGGCGCCCTCGGCGAGCACCTGAAAGGCTGTCACAAGGGGGAGGACGAGGCCCCTCCTCCATTTCAGAGTGCAGGACAGACCTGAGTCTAAATCTGGTTTCTTTTAATTTGACACCAGGAAGAATTCCCTGACTGAGTAGTACGACAATGGAACTTATTAACTGGGAGTGTCGCGGGCGCTCCCTCGCGGGAGACGTTCAAAAAGCATCTCCACAGTCACCTGAGTGGGATGGTGCCGCTTAGCTTCCTGCAACAGAATGGACTCGATCGTCTTCTGGCCCCTTCCAACTCTATGATTCTTGAATTCATAGAAACAGAGAAAGCATAGGGGGGAAAGCAAGCCAGAAGGGACCTCCTGGGCCCTCTAGGCCCCCAGCTCCAGCCAGTTCTGCTCACGGGACCCCCACAGGTGGGGGATTGCGTCTTTCCCTGAACTCCCCCCACCTCCCTTGGCAGCCCAGATCCAATTCCAAGCCCCCTGCAGCATCTGCGCCATCCCAATCTCGAGACGCGATGGTTGTGCACACCTGGCGCTTGAACTCTGCCGTGAGAGAGGCTGAGCGTCGGGGTCTCCCTGCAATGGCCACCAAGGGTGTGCTGCTGTTTTCGGGAGGGGGGGCAGGGACCACACGCCCCTCGGGATGCGTCACCCAGCTGCTGCCGAGTTTGCACCAACAGCCTGTGCCGCTCTCTGGAGAGGCCGAGCCCCGTGCTCTGTCCACAGCGGCACCTCTGGGGACTCGCTGGGATCCTCGCGATTCTCGCACACATTCACTGAGAGCAAGCAAGCCAGGGATAAAAACTCCACGTCTTTAATAAACACAATTTTACAGAACAGGAACCCAGCACGGAATAAATACCTTGAGGTTTTGGCCCAGAGCAGCCCCGAGTAGCCATACCTGTGTGGATTGTGTGAGGTGGGCAGGTGCAAGTGTGAGCATAGGGGAGCCGGCAGTGCTCGAAGGGGGGGCTGCTTCTGGCCAGGCCTGACCGCCCCCCCCCACCCATTTTCTGCTCGGAACACGGAGCAGAATGTGCTTTCCCTCTGGAGGGCCGTGGGGTGACGGAGCCCACCTGTGAGTCTGGCGTGCCTGCAAGTCAAAGGCTCGAGGACGGAAGGAAGGGGGTGTGTTGTGCGATGTGAGGAAGTGCAGCAACTGTCCTTTGATAGGCCAAGCTCAGGCGAAAGCCGAGAGACAAATACACCCTAACGAACTGATGGCACCAGCCCACCCCCTGCCCCTCTGCCCCCATGGAAGGGGGAAGCCCCCCCGCCGCCCTCTGCCC